TTTTGTGCATTTAATTGACAGAAAAAAAAAGAATTAAAGAAAATAAATTATATATGTAAAATAAAAACACATTTTAAAGAAATAATATATAATATATGAGATATAATAAAAAAATTATATATAAAATAATATATATTATATAAATGCGGTATTTTTGTACATTTAATTGATATAGAAAAAAATTATATATATTTTTTAATTTTTGATTCATTATCATATTATTATTAATATTATATAGTATTAAATATATTCATACATATTAATAATATTAATTAGTGAGGTGTTTTGTGCATTTAATTGATACATAAATATAAAAATAATGAATATACATTATATATTAAACAATAACAATATTATTATTATCTGTTTTTAATGTGGACTCTTAAGACAAAAGCGTGTTACTTTTCTCTGCGCTGCTCGGGATGGACCAATCAGAGTCGAGTGTGAGGATTCGATGAGGATTTGAAAAAAATAATTTTGTAAAGATTCATAAAGAGAAATTCCTTTTGTGTGCCAGATAACAATCCTTATGGGTTATGTGTTTAAATTATTATATTTATATCAATCTTACGAAGGTGTCGTTAGGTTTCAGTGCGGTGTTCGTGTTCTGCGCCGCCTCGCGCCCCCGAACAATGTGACCGTTGAGTATCATAGCAACCGCCATTTGAGGTATTTGCCGCCTTGAGTGTCGCGTCGCGTCAAACGAGTCGCTTGCTGTGGAGTTTCACACGCTCATGTGACGCGCCGCCTGCGGAAGTTTCTTACAGTGTTTCAGAGGGATCTGGTGCGTCTGACTGGCGTTGAGAAACACACAACCATCCGCGGAAGAAGAACAACAGCAACCGGAGCGATAAAACACGCTGGAGTTCTGCCGCAGACGCACCTGTAAGTGTGCAGTTCATTCTTGTTCATCTGAGTAACTGTCCGTGACTTTATGTTCGGTTTGTTGAACTGTTTTCCTGTCAGTACGCGGAATATACTCCGAAATGAACGCGAGCGAATCTCAGAATGTGACTCTGATGCGGTCCACCGCCGCGGAAAGCGCCGAATATCGCTCTTACTTCAAAAGCTGAGTTTCCAGGCCTTAAAACAGCACATTTCTATCGTCAGTATAGATGATATGTCATGTCAGTAACGCATCGCTTAGAAATCACTCTTGATGTTACAAATTCTTGCTCTGTAAAAGTGTGAAAAGACATTTCAGTAACGTTACGTTAGTTTTTTTCTTGGTTGATTTTCTCTTGTCTTCAATTCAATTCAAAATCGCTTTATTGGCATGACTGTAAAAAATACAATATTGCCAAAGCTTGGAATAAGTGACTCTGGAGCACAGAAGCAGTAGCACAGGTATATTTGTAGCAATAGCCATGGGTCAAAATGATTGATTTTTCTTTTATGCCAAAAATCATTAGGATATTAAGTAAAGATCATGTTCCATGAAGATATTTTGTACATTTCCTACCATAAATATATAAAAACTTCATTTTTGATTAGTAATATAGAATGTGACTCTGATGCGGTCCACCGCCGCGGAAAGCGCCGAATATCGCTCTTACTTCAAAAGCTGAGTTTCCAGGCCTTAAAACAGCACATTTCTATCGTCAGTATAGATGATATGTCATGTCAGTAACGCATCGCTTAGAAATCACTCTTGATGTTACAAATTCTTGCTCTGTAAAAGTGTGAAAAGACATTTCAGTAACGTTACGTTAGTTTTTCTCTTGGTTGATTTTCTCTTGTCTTCAATTCAATTCAAAATCGCTTTATTGGCATGGCTGTAAAAAATACAATATTGCCAAAGCTTGGAATAAGTGACTCTGGAGCACAGAAGCAGTAGCACAGGTATATTTGTAGCAATAGCCATGGGTCAAAATGATTGATTTTTCTTTTATGCCAAAAATCATTAGGATATTAAGTAAAGATCATGTTCCATGAAGATATTTTGTACATTTCCTACCATAAATATATAAAAACTTCATTTTTGATTAGTAATATAAAGGTGATTTTCTCAATATTTTGATTTTTTTGCACCCTCAGATTCCAGATTTTCAAATAGTTGCATCTCAGCCAAATATTGTCCTATGTCCTATCCCCATACATCTTTCAGATATAGTTTCAAAAAATGTACCCTTATGACAGGTTTTGGGGTCCAGGGTCCAGGGTATGTGGAGAAACATGTAAATATATAAAACAGTCTGTCTGTCTTTGTTTTTCTGTGTTTCTGCATCTCTGTCTTTCTCTCTGGTTGCTCAGTTGCTGGAATGTTTGTCTCTTTACCTGGTAAATATTCAGTGTGTGGGTGTGTGTGTGTCTGTTTGTGTGTGTGTCTGTTTGTGTGTGTGTGTGTGTGTTTG